TCGCCGTGCGACACGCTCTTGTTGGGTACCCTGCGTCGAGTCCTGTGGGCCCTGATCTGAATACTGTAGTTTCCATACAGCAGTGGCCAGTTTTGTTCAATGCAGGTGTCCCAATTTGCATCAGCTACCGCTTGTTTTTCATCGGAGTATAACTAGTTGTTAGAAGAAAGGTTTCAAGGTGCATTCCAGAATGTCCTCCTATGAGCAGGAGCTATATAGAGACTACTTGATGAGACGTGACCGAGACAGCGAGTATCGGGATAGATCACAGCAGAGATCGGCTGGTGAGGAAAGGCGAAGTCGTGAGCTCGGCAGCGCTCTACCGTCCGGCAGATTTAAACCGACAAGCCAGCGTCAGCCGAGCGCGCTGTCAGAAGAGAAGCGCCGTCAACTGAAAGGCGATGGAAGCTACAATATGTGAGGATTATGAAATTTTTTCGCGTTTTTGGCGTTCTATCGCGTATAGTGCAGCTGGTGGCAAACTGTCCACGGCTACCTTCAAGTTGAAGCAAAAATTGGGGTCTCATCCATCAAGGAGGGGGAGGAGTGCATGTGGCGCGACAGTCCACATCGCTTAAAGTAATCCAATTTTGCGGAGAAGAAAGCTACGCGGAGCGGGAGCGAGATGGTTCACGCACGCGGGGGATTTCTTCCCCTTGCGAACAATGGAGTTTCTGTAGGCAGTGTGAGCTGTCGCCTCACGTGTCTCCACTATACTGTAATACCCAAAAATCGTTCAAATAAGAAGTTGAACGACAACTTGGGTGCCCTGGCTTTTCTTTGGCCACCCCGAGTTCAATGTTGGATGCTCACTTGGGGATTCATGTGTCATCCCGCGAATATTGAACCCCGGGGTTACAGTAATGACAAGGCGGAAGCCCCGGTTCAGCAAACTTGCAGAAAAAAATCTAGGTCAATACCACTTTTTCTAAATCTTTGAACTGGACTTCTTCTGAATCAACATTTTATTTTTTAGACCGGATAACATTTACCATTCTTCTGGCTACGTCACTCGTCCTTCGGATCTCGGCGAAGATCCACTGTCGGCTGTGCGAACATTAAGAAATCAGATACGTGGAGCCGCTATCAGATCTCGCCAGGAAGGCTTGAATGTCCGAGTAGGGATTGCTTTTGACTCATATGAACTAATATAAAACTATTCAGTGAGCTGAAATCTAATTGGGTGTGCTTCTTTTCATTTGGTAGTACTGGCAGGGAACCGAACATTCATACCAGAGCAATAGTACATCTCAGCCATCTCCGTTCGGCCTCTTGCGGTCTCTATGAGACCGATGTCAGACTTTGCGAATCGCTAGTAGCGAGTCGCTCGATTCGCAGAGTCTGAAATCGGCCTAAGCATGCAGTCGCGACACGGCTTGAAGTTATGTGCCCTGTCTATCTATTACCTTACCCCATCGACTACTTTGAACTGGAATCCTGCCACCGGTTGAAGCAGTAATTGTGAAAAGAGTGAGGCAGTAGGCGTTGAGTAATCCTTTTTGGGGATGCGCCGCGTATTCGATACCTATATAAAGTCTTAGCACCATTTGAACGACACTTAGCCCATGCATAAGGATGAGACCAGTCAATGTTCAAGTCGGTGTTTTATTTTCACAGATATCGATACTCACCAAGTGACCCTGTAGGATA